GCCCGGGTTTGCCACCGGGAACCGACCGCGGTCACGGCGCTGCTCTCCGACAGACTTCTCCCTCTGGCAGCAAACAAGGCACCGTCTCCCGCCCCGGCAACGTCCGCCGCTTCAGGAATTAGTATTAAGCAGTCGATGAAAGATGTGACAGCAAGTCTCTGGTAAAAAGCGTTAGTCCTTCACCTGAACTTACGAAAGCAGATTGCAGACGTCCTTTACGATTTAAAAAAAACACGGCGCTGCTCTCCGACAGACTTCTCCCTCTGGCAGCAAACAAGGCACCGTCTCCCGCCCCGGCAACGTCCGCCGCTTCAGGAATTAGTATTAAGCAGTCGATGAAAGATGTGACAGCAAGTCTCTGGTAAAAAGCGTTAGTCCTTCACCTGAACTTACGAAAGCAGATTGCAGACGTCCTTTACGATTTAAAAAAAAAATAAAAAATAAAATAAATAAATCCCTCATGAGGAGTTGCAGCTTTTTTACCTCACGGCAGCTGTAAACTCGGCATCCTGGGCTGAGGGTAGCTCTAAGCTAGTCACTGCCCCAGGGGAGCTGCGGAACAGCACTGCGGCCGTGCGGGCGTCGGGTTTAGGGTTTATGGAGAAAAACCATAGCGAGGATAGAAATTATTGCTTTCTGCTTGTATTCTCATTCTTAAATAATTATTTACATCCCTAGTCGCAAAAAGTATTTAATTTGTATTTAGTCACCTAGGCCTCCCAGAAGCAACCATGAACTCAGCTCATGCTACTTTGACTGTTAAAAGATGCTTCACTTTGCTCCTCTCCCCCTTTCCTCATGGTGCCCTTTGTACACATTTTCACTGTTCTTTTTCATAAAGCTGCAGTTTCAAAATAGTCGATGTCAGGATCATTTGACAACTACACACTCTTCCCTGCCACATACTGGGAGCTATGGCAGGATAGCAATAAAACAGGGAAGTGTATCAATCCCTTGCTTTGGTTTTCCAACCTGAGCAGTAAAAGTAGGTTGGTCCTGTACTCTTTAATTAGCAACGGGGTAGTTTTTGCCTTTAGCTGCACAACGGACAGATCAAAAAATCACAGTTTTACACTGACTTCTAAATAAGTAAGGGTAAGATCCAGCCTTTTGGGGGAGCTTAAGCTAAAAAGGAAAACTCCATGATATTATCTTTACCAGAATAATCATCGCTAGTAAAAAGTGAATGTCAGCAGCTACAGGTTAGAGTTATTTCCCATTCTCAGTAGACAGCAAAGCACTGATAAAACTGGAGTTATTGCTGATAGCAATTGAACTAGAGGCATCAGATGGAACAGGTACAGTGAAAATTTCAGGACAGTAAAAGGAAAGTAGGGGTGGGCTGGTACAATCTGTATTCAGCGCTAGCAGGTAAGAAATAAAATGCCATTTGCCCACATGCTGTAAGTGCTATTGCTAAGAAACACGAGTGTCCTTTTGCTAAGTGTCTGAAATATTCAGGGTAACCACAGTAACAGGGAGCACATGTAAACATTCTATTATTTTTGCTATTATATTTTATTTGAATAAAAGCAAATGTTTCCTTCTTTCCTCTTCTGTGATTGTCAGGAAAGAGAATCAATAACCCCAGGAAGAAAAAAAGAAATAAGAAGTCTTCAAATATACAACAGATTCCTGAACTTCTGTTCAAAATTCATCCGCTCCCTCTAGCTGGAACAGGAAGTGGAAGTGCCCAACTGACGGTGAAGGAAGGCAAATCTCAGCTGGGGTTTTCCATCAGACCAACATAAACATTCTTAGTACCAGCAACATCCACCGAGGTAAGTTAGCTATGTATTTAAATTAATACCATATAATAAACCCACCAAGAACAATGCAACATCTTTAACTCCACATGAATCAACTCTGTCTTTCTGGATTGTGGAAAACAAATGTGGAGAACATGTCCTTTAGCAGACGTTTTCCATTAACACAATGTACAAAAGTCCCGCTTGGTCTAAGCTCCCCTGCTGTCGCAGTTTGTCCAGAACCTCAAAAATGCATTTCTCGTTTCCCCTATTACAACCACACTTTTCAAATAAAATTTAAAAAATGCAATGGAAATGACCAAGCATTAAAGGAACAAGCAGAAAAGGGACTCAACTGAAGGAACAAGCCTATCCTGTTCCACAGGACTGGACACATTTAAAAGATCAGTGAAGCCGCAAAGTTAAAAAAACTTTTTGCCAACAGTAGGTGGGAGGCAGGTAACACACTAACCGAGGTCAAAGGAAGCTGGCTTCATACTTCATTCTGCAACATTCACTCCATTTCCAGATGTTTTACAGCCAGCGAGCTTGATTCCAACAGTAAGGTGATTATGTGGACAAGTCCACTCACTGATGGCATGGTGAGTGACAGCACATCACAGCTCTTAAGACAGGCGGCACCAGAGCATATAGGAATAACAACAGTGGCATGGATACCAAACTTGTGTCCTCTCCATTCAAGATAGTATGATGCACCAGAAGACGTTTCTTATTTCAGGTACACCAAGTTACACTTACGCATCAAAAATACCAGGAGGGAAAAGACACCGTGCCAACTTTATTCAAAATAGTTAAAATATAGCTGAAGATCTTGAAGAGCAATAACAATTAAACAATTCCTGAACATCCTGATGAAGTAGGTATTACTCCTCTCTGAGAAAATTAAGTCAGAGATTTTAAAGTTAACGGTCAAGTTACACAGCAAGTAGATGCAAACCAAGAAGCTGAACTCTAATTTGGATTCCTCTAACAAGGGGATTACCCATCTGCTTCAAGTTCGACATGCTTCCAATACCTTGCTGAATCAGACCTTATGTGGCCATTCAAAACACTGGACAGGTCTACATAGCCAGTGCCAGGTAAGTAAAAAACACATAAAATAAGAACTGAGTCAATTAGCATTACAAAATTGCAAGTTTATTGCAAAGTAAAATTAGTTCTTCCCCTCAACAGCACATGACAGAACTTCTAAAATCTTACACTTTCAGCTGAGGGTTACTCAAAAATCATATCCAAATTATTAGAACCAAACTTAGTATTTGTATGTGTATTCACGTTCACAAAAGACCACCCTGCATTTATTTACGATTGACGGGCTTATCCAAATATTTTCAGTTAAATGCAGTTAACTCAAGTAGTTGAAGAAAATCCTTAATAAATGGTTCCTTAGCCAAGCTACGGTCTAAGTATATTGGGAACAAACCAGCGAGTCAATCAAAAAAAGAACAAAAAGGACTTGATTACAAATATCATTTACAATGGTCATCTCAACAATTGTTTGGGTCATCTCTGCTCATCATCACAGTATACTCCAGTTTTGAACATTCTGCTTAGCAAATTAATTACCACAGTTAAACAAGACAGCAAATCAGTCCACGTCTTCAACTAGAGAAATTCCTTCCTTTTCTTCTAGCTTGGATACCTGCAAGTTAAAAGGAAACTGATTCAATAGTAAACATAAGTTTGCATTTAGTGCCTCGTGTCTTTTCAGACTTCCACCACACGACAGTGTAGAGCCCAGATCTACTGGGAACTGGCAGCAGGATATGCTCTAGGGGACAACTGAACCGAACAGGGTGTTAGTTGCAGTCAAAAGAGAAGGTCAAGCTTTCTTCCCATCCACCCCCTTAACCTCCCCCCGGCTGCACACTCCCATGAGTTCCTTGTTTTTTGTCAGTTTGGTGACTTCATTTGGCTGACCACTGAGTGCGACAAGCACCAAAGCCATCTCAGAAGCCAGGAGTGACAGGAAGGGAGGCGAGACTGCCCGTTTCAGGGACAGCTGTCAGATCAGATAAGGCCATAACCTGGAACCCTGCCTGTAACAGACAGGCTAGGATAATTAAAACAAACTCAGGAAATGCTTTTCATGCACACACACACAATTTTACAAAAGCGACCTTCACTGTTCTTAAAACTTAAGAAAAGGAATTACCTTACATTAAGCTAAGCTGTTGTAAAGACTAACAATATAAATAGTTTCAGAAGGGATTCTACAAACTCATGGAGGACAGACCAACAGCACAAACTAAACACGGTGTTCTACACGCTACTTGTAACTCAGGAAAATTTAGTTCTGTGTTCCCCAAATCTATGGGGATATATAGAGAGGGTTGTATTATAAATTCCCTGTTATTACGTTCTTCCTTCAACATCTGCTGGTCGTGCAAGAGACGTACAAAGATACTCAGGTTGATAAATCATTTAGTTTGACTAAACACAGCTAATCTTGTGGTATGATCAGTAAGCACTGGAAAAAGCAGGAGACAGACAGCAGATACCTAATCCTTGGGGGCAGATGTGCCAGCTTTCTTCTGAGATATGTCACAGTTCCTTCAAATTATGCCAGCTGTTAAAATCCCAGTTAACATTTTGGCACGTAGAAATTGTTAACACGCATGCTCTGACCACACATCCTTTACCTGAGACGTAACTGAAAGGCAGAAGCTACAGACAGTGCTACTGGAGTTCCTGGGGTTGCTCTAAACCACTAAAAATTTCATCCCCCAGGTGGGACCTTCAGCTAGGTAGAGCTGAATGACCACAAGACTCCAAGCGCAAATCTGGCAATTCCCAGCAAACGCTATGACCTCAACTTCCTCTTAACCCTGTTCCTTCTGCAGCAAATACAAATGGAATTTTGCACTTAAAAGAGCGGGTAACTAAATTGGCTTGACTATACTACAAACATCCAAAGCAGAAAAGTACTTTCCACAAATCCAACAGATTTCTTCATCATTAGCACTCCAAACCATTCCCCTCCACAAATGAGCTCAAGCTGTAACATGACTCTTCTACAGGAAAACTTGGCATTACCTAACTAAAGGTGCTTTTTATGTCCTTTAGAGTTTATGCCTTATTTTCATAGTCATGTTACTCCACCAGAAAAACCTTAAGTGCAGATTAAGTCCCATGAGCATAATTATCAGTAAGATATTGTCCTAGTGAGTGACTGTCTTCAGAATTACAATGGTGCTGAATACACACAATAAATAGAAACTCTTAGTTTCTTCAACAGGGCAGATTTGACTCACATTATTGCAAGTCATTATTTTCCAGTCTTGCAAAAAGCTATCTGTACCAACGAGTTATCAGTTCAGGCTACTGTTGCCTACATAACAGATTCTTCCCCAAACTTGACTCCCATTTTTCAGGAATGAGTTGCAATGGCTAGTACCCTTGCATAGCACAACTGCTATTACATACAAATCTAGCTAAAGAGTGTAACAATATCTTGGATCATTAAAAGATCTTAATCACATTTACTGTAAGTATAAAATAATTACATTTTGGTCCAGACCCTACAAAAATATTTTCCCCAACTCCCACTGTGGCCAAAAGAACTTTTGTCCTGGACTTTGGTGCAAAAAAGTCCAAAATGATGGAAAAAAACCCCACCATACAGACCTACAAAAAACAGCTGCACGTGGTAGCTTTTATCCTAGGTTTCAAGGTAATGAAACACTATTACAGCATGTCTGGCATTTCGCAGATGAGGGAATTAATATTTTATTACATATATAAACATATTCTTAAAAGCAACCGAGGTGTAAAAACTCTGGCAGAAAAATCCTCAAGGTGCTAAAATTCTGCAGCCCAGTATTTCTGCCATAAAAAATGCATTAAAATAGTGTCAAAGGCGTGACTAAAAACTACAAAAAGTTAAGCACGGTTCCAATAGTTGCTTTAGCCCCTCCATACCTCACAGCACTCAAACTAAGCACTGTACCATTACTGTTGCTGTATTTGAACAAACACGTATTTATGAGTCAACTGACTTGAGGTTCAAAAAAGGAATTGTTGTAGAAGCAGATGGGGAAGCATTCACAATGAATTGCTGCCTCTTACTGGCTTTTCCCACGCAGATGTAGGTCAAGTCTTAATCCTGCAATTAAATAGATCCCTTCAGACAGGTCCTGAACTGAAACCGAAACACATAAGCTTGTTCTCCGCATTAGCACAGGACTTCATGAGTATGGGTACACCTATTAGTTTCTGGCCTCAGTACATATATTCTCTTTTTTTTTTTTTTACCTCCTCCTTCTTGCTTTCATAGGAATATGAGAAGCCATACTTAACAATGAAAAAAACAACCAAACAGCCTACACTGAAACCAGAGAATTCTTAGCCTCACAGTTATGTGAAAAGAACAATCAGAGTTACATCTGCAATAACTATTATCCTAAAGGCTAGTTGTCTTTTGCTGGAGATTTACTGGAACTGGGCTTGTCCCATTGCGAGGACTTTAAATACAAAACCCTACAAGAAGTAGAGGGCATTTACCTGTTTATCTATACACCTAAATTGCCAGGACCACGTGGTGTTATAAAGGAAAGGCCTCAGGTCAAATCGGTTGTCATCTGGACTGTAGTTTTCAGCATGGTAGGAAGGAGTGAGGGTGGTCATTTTATGTCTGTTAATTGAATACATCCTGAAGAAATGCTTAACCTTTGATGCCACCTGGTGTACAAAGAATATAGCTTTTAATCAGATGAAGTTTCTTAGTTTTTAAAAAATTTAGAGAACAGTATTTTGGAGACCGTGTTCTAGCTTTACCCATCCATTTTCTTCCATTAACATTTACATACATTATCTACTACTACTAGTATGAATCCCTGTGGATGACCCTACCTATGAAAGGTGTTTAAGACCATTTTCAGACACTGCCTCAGTCTCTGCACCCATCATTTACCATAAGGAAGTGTCTTGTAAGAAATCTAAACAGTAAGCGCTAGCCTCTGCAATTCAGGTGACAATCTGAACTTTTTCCTTTATGCACAAGAAGGGAAGAACTGCCTAACAGCAAAGCAGATACCTCTTCAGTGTAGATATTCTTTCAAAGCAAGAACCATTTTCTGTCTCGGAATACATAACCAAAGGTTTCAACAGTAGTCAGTCATGTATACTTCAGAGAATAATTTTCCCCAAAGGTATAGTTCTAAAGTAATTGTTTTCAAATTACCTAATTACCATTCTAACAATTTGCAACACAGACAACAAACTCCATTAATTTAAGAGATGCATACTAGTTTTTCCACATATTCTGCTATAGCTGTAGAATAATCTCTAAACAGAGAATAATTAAACTGTCCCTTTTAGTTAAAAGGAACTCTAATCGACCTTTCTCCAAACACACTCTATTTTGGCAAAGACAATACATGATTTGAATTTCTTTTTTTTTTATATTACCTCTCTTGGAGTACAAATTTCCTTCCACATATGAATCAGCTTACAGAACATACTGTACGGTCCAGCCTTTGCAATTTTTCGTAATTTGCCATAGATTGAGAGCTCTGCATATGTCATCCCCATATCTGCCTGAAATCACACACGCAGAAAGTCACTGAAAATCTTAACTATGCAAATTATAACTAATATTTTTATGAAGCAATTACAATAACTCAGTTTAATCAAAGAAACACCAAAATGAAATTGCCAATGATCAAAAAGACAAACAGATAGCACTATTATGAGCAGGAGAAAAAAAACCTAGAATCTCTCTGAAACAGAAGATTTGAAATTCTTCCACGAATGTATTTGATTTGGCCACTGAAAACATTTTTTTCCTGAGAAAGATTTGTTCATTTTCCCTTCTAGGTCGCTTAAATGTAGTGTACATCAGTAAGGTAAGGCCAAATGAAGAAAACCACTAATTGCTTTATCATAAAGAGTTTTACAATAGCCTACAGTTAAGTACCCAACAGCCCTTAGAGGTAGTTGTTAGGCTTACTAGTCCTCTCTTATTCAAGTGGATAGCAAAGAGAAGGGCACAGGGAGAAGAGGAAGGGTGCTGCCACCAGTCATTTCAACAGCAGTAAGGCCCTGACTGACTATCTTTTGATATTAACAAACTTTAAAAAACAAACTAAGTTTCAGAACACTCTTCCTTCTAAGAGCCCAGAATATAAAATCATTCAAAAAAAGTTTATTTGCTGCTTTGGAAACTGTTGTCAACACAGATAAGGCTGGTGTGGGAGACTAGTGTTAGCAGCTTTAAGACTGCTTGTCAATAAGCATGGATGCATACAAGAGCAAACAATAGTTATTGGACAAAAACCAAATTTGGGGATAAGGCTTACCAGAGCATTTTAAAGTCACTGCTCATTACCTCATCAGTTTGAGCCACTTGTCCATCCACCAGGGGCTCTAACTCTGCAGTGGGTGGAGCTGACATGATACTGTAAGAAACAGGTAAAAAGAAAAACATGAATTCTAGCCAGTCTCATGAGTACTAGTCAACAAACAGTCTGGTTTGCTAAAAATCAAATGCTTTATTCAAAACTTTTTCAGGGCATAAGCTGCTAAAGAACTAGATAATTCCAGTGGTACTTGCAAGCTGTTCCAGGTTAAAAAAAGCAATGCTTTATACCAAAACCAAAAAGCATCTGGCTCAAACAGCTCCTTCAGTATATGTAACAATACGAATGCTTGCGTACAGTAACTGCTAAGACTGGCCGCATTTTCAGCACCCAGCAATTTACATTGTGTAATTCTACACAATCATTTAAAAACTAAGGGGTGCAAAGAATACTCTTCTATATTAGCATTTGCTATATTATGGCAGACTAGCTCTGTTAGTAGAGAAAACCAAACCGTGAAGTCCACAATATGCTGCATACAAATACAGTCACCAAATATCACTGCTTCACTACTCACCTTCTGAGGGCTGTGAGCTGAAAATTTTCAATGCAATATTGTATGAAGTTCTTCAAATCAGTCTTGCTGATTCCACCAATGGGATTGATATCAGCACTTGAGCAATCATACTTCGTCAAGTAACCTCGGAGACTGAGCAAGAGGGGAAATTTTACATAGTAATAGCAAATAATAATGTAACATTAGTACAATATATAATATTTTATATTATAGAAAATACATATATGTGTGTATATATATGTAGCATAAAGATGGGGAGAAACAGACTGCATATTGTTAATGTGTTTATATGTAAGGGGCAAATGTGTTCAGCTGCAACAGGGCTAACCTAAAGCCATGAAATTGCCAGGAGGAGGAGGGTATTTTAAACAATTATGAAGCACTGCAAAACTGCTCATGCTAAGGTAAGATATTTGATGTAAAACAATTAAAATACTGTCCTGACCAATTAAAAAAATAAACCCCAAAACACCCACAGAATCAGCACACACTACTCTTACAGCTTTAGAGGTCATCAATTCCACAATCTTACAGGGATTGCTTAAATCTTCAAATAGTCAGCTCTAGTAACAGTACTCCAGATTTTTAAAATCTGTTTTTCAACTCAAAGTTCACAACTTAATTCCTAATACAGTAATTGAAAATGCAACAAATAACAGATCGGAAAGTTAACGTGGTAATGGTACAGGCAAGCTCTACTGAAAGCAGCTAAGGAAGGAACATTTTATTGGAAAACTATAACAATGCTTTGGCTAAACTTCTGAAAAATACACAATTTCCCATTCAGACCGATTCAACTATTTTCATTAATTTCACTGCTATCACTGTATTCTTAACTTGTTACCTCTTCTAGGTAACAATCTACACTGGGATTTGGAAGAGTTGCAAGGAAATACAGTGATCTGCTCCCAGTTCACCTGGTTTTAGATTTCTAACTTTCACCAACCTTTCATCCACATTGGCTGATCCTAACACCAGAAGTCCTCCTGGTATTCCACGAGTCCAAAGTGTCAGCTGAGCAAACAGGTAGGCAAGGACCATTCTTATTCTAGCCTGGCAAAGCAAAATGAAAAATAAAGCAAATTTACACAGCAGAATAATTTCTCCCCAATCACTCCAATTAATCATTTCCCTAAACAAACCCATACAGAACAAAATGTGAGAGAGGTAGGCGTTACTGCAAGAAGGATGGTCTTGTGGAGAAGGTGCTGAACGCGCATAGGAAAGCCAGGTTCAGTATCCGCTACTGCTGCAGAGTTACATGACTGAGCAAGTTTATTGTACTCTGAATTGCAGAACGGGGAGTAGTTGCCATTTTCTACCTCCTACAAGCACTAATAAGGATCCCTGAAGGATGAAGTATGCAGATAAACCATCTGTCTACCACACCCTTTCATGGAATATTAGACTAAAGGGACTTATTTACATAAAATTTGTAAAAAGTTCTCTTTGCTTTTGTCCCCATTTCAAAACTCAACTTTTTCTAAGGATGGTAATAATACCAAACAGACCTGAGATTCAGCCTCCAGCTCTACCCACAATTGTGTGTGATGTTAAGCAAATCGCCACACTCCTCTGTGACTAAAGCCTACCCATTGCCAAAAAGCTGATAAAAGGATTCAATGCTTGCTTCCAGAGGAGGCAGCTGGATTTCTCCAGTAATAGCTGGGAAGAAAGATCAAGTCCTCAGCTAACAAAAACTATCAAACACAACAATCAACACGTAGCCAGAATTAAAACAGAACTGCTAGTTAGGTTGGAAGCTTTTAAGAATAGGACAAAAAGAAAGCTATAAAGACAACAAAATGTACAACTGGAGCCAGGGACTAGAAGTCACTAGGCAGCTATCTGTTCTGTGATTCTATAGGATACGTATACCAGCACTACTCAGACACAGCACCAATCTGTTCTGACACAATGAAAAAGCATAACCGGAAATGTGGTTTTCAGCTGCATTTTGTAAGCCTATTGAAGATTAAATACTTTCTGATGTAAAAAAAATATTTGTCTTCTTTCTAAAACTGAGGACATCTTGGAATTGGAATGGGTAAGCTTGACATCTCACAAACAGCCTTTTAAAGGCTGCTAACGTTCACCAGAGGGAAGTCTACTAAACATCCGCACTATTTTTGAGTGTTGACCTGCCACAATCCTGCTGGACTGAGACTTGTCTATTAGAATACTTTGCTGCTCATTTTCCTGACCTGGCAACTCTCTGTCAGGATGCCTTTCTCAACAGCATCTAGTCCAACGCTATTGACGGGATAGAGGCATGTACTATTTTTTCCTGACCATCTTCCTGACCTATAAAAGTCACAAACAATAATTATCTTGGTCTTCTCCTGAGTTATGTGGAACTGTACATTTCTGCTGCAGACAAGCATTTACTGGAAGCCCATGAATCTTCAGGGACACACCACAAGAAGTTTAGGTTTCCACAGCAATGCAAATGAAAGGTCCCCTTGCTACTTTACCAGTTTGTATTCAGTTTAAAAAAAAAAAAAAAAGAAAAGGAAAAAAAAGGGGGGTCTGATCTGGTTCATCCTATATGAAACACACCTGCACATTCTGGAGTGCCAGGTTTTCTCTGCTGCTCCCTCCGTAGACAGAAAACCGAGGCGTTCGACCTGTCACCATGCTGAAGATTCCCACAATAGCTTTCACAGCCACATCTATGTTCAGATTGATGTGATAGCTGGGAAGAATTCAAGCAGAAGTGACTCAACTAGCACAATCTGACTCTATAAAATAGCATTAAAAAAAGCAAAAACCCTACCCTTCAAATGATGTTTTAAGGCTGCTACCATCTCAGATTTGGTATGAAGAAACTTAGGAAAGAATAACACTTTCCAGAGTCTGTTTCCAAATTTCCATGCCCTTCACCAAATGCTTCCAAGTTTGGCACACTTAAATAATAATGCCTGTAACACTCCTACTTAACACACCCACTATTCCTCTCCTATTTTTTCCCATTTTAGAGCTTGAAAGTTTTATACGAAAGTCTTTGCCAGAATATGATTTTTTCCCAGCACGTCTCAACTTGTACCTGCCTATTTGCTCAGCCAGAAGTTTAGCCCTGTTGCAAGTATCCTGGGAGGAGTTCTCACTAGCCATATAGCAAGTGGTAAAGATACGCTTGCAAAATTCTCGAGGATCCTCAGGGACGTAGGTCTCATCATTCACAATCTTGCGCACATCAGCCAGTACATCTGCATCTGAGAACAAAGCAAAAGAAACAGAACAAGAGTGGAAATTGTTGCGCTCCTGCTATCCAGGATATGCAAATATCTGGTACGTTTCTTGTATTCCGCTTAAGCTTTACACTGCCCCTCACAAATAAGATGACTCCATCACGTAACTCCCCAAACATATTTTCATATATCAAATACAAGAATTACTGATTTTGAATTTTGCTCCTAGTTTTGAACACAGAAGTGTTAAATCCTTTTGTTCTATACCTTAAAGAAACTTCAGAGAAAATACGATCCCATGTCTACAAAGGCATATAGTCTACTTAAAGCTGGTTTAAGAGCTTGAACCATGCCTGACCATGATTCGTAGTGCTGAATTCAACAGAAGGAGAAAATTCTCATGATAAACTGAAATCCCAAAACTACATCAGCCAACATTTTGAACGATACTCTACACAGAAACTAGCCTGAGTTCCACATTCAATTCTTAAACCCAAAAGGAAAACTATTAAGCCAATTCAAAGAACCTGAAATCTGGATGCACATTTTTGCTGTAATTTCTGAAGAGATACAAAGCATTCCATTAGAACAACTGGGCAGGAGTCTACCATTAAAGACCTCTTGCATCCATTGCACCCAGCTACTATTAACTTGTCCGTAACCACTAGTAAGCACGGCTAGCCAGACATGCTTATCTACTTACTTCCGTTCTTGACTGCCAGGCAAACCTGGTGACACATAGAGTATACTACGCAAGCTGTAGCAGAGCTGTCAATTCCACCACTAAGAGGGAGGAGAAACCCTGCCTTGAAAATAGAGCAAGGAAGACGTTCCAAATAGCAACATTAGAAAAAAACACATTGTATCATTCAGAAACATACTCTCATAAAAGAATTACACATGCATTGTTCAAGTCTGCTTATATTCTACTGGGGAAAAACAAACAAACCAACGAGACCTAGCAAACCCTCTTAAACTGTTACTGACTGGATAATCAAACAAGCAGTCAGCATAAACCTTTTGGCTAGAAAAACTTCCAGTATGTCTCTACCCTCTAGTTAAGACAGAAGAGCCAATAAAAAGGATTAAATTTTTCATATATATTTCACTATTAAAGTGAATCCTAGCCCATGTCACACTACTTATTTTAAATACCTCCATTATGCCACTAAAATATTTTCCTCACTGAAAAAAACAGTGATTCAAAGAAAAAGAAATCCGCTTTATTAGGTAAGCTTGACTGTTGCTTTCAAAGTAAGCATGATCCCTAAGGAAAAGGTCTGAAGAGCATACTGAAGTCACACTTTGCGTACGGGTTTTAAGTCTGAATGAGCCACCAGTGAAAAACTCAAACCTTGCACCCTGGGCTAACATCACTTTGCATTAGCAGCTGCGCAGGATAGCGATGTGTACTGTCCCTATGGCACAGAAGATGTGTATGCCAGAGCAAAGAACAAAAATGGTTGTTCTTACCTGTTTGCTGCGCCTTAAATAGTCCCAAAGCCAACATGCAGGACCAAGGCTGAAATTACAGAATATCCTTATTCCAAGAGGGCTATGGAATAACCTAATCAAATCAACATATTTACTGTGGTCTTCCAATTAGATATTTTCTTTACTTAAATATAAATAAGATCTTATGTTTATCTCATTTTTTTTGTTTGAGTTTTTGTTTTTTGTTTTTGTTTTGTGGTTGTTGTTTTTTTTTTTTAAATCAAAATAATTTTCAAGCTACAGATTCAGTATCTGCTTACCTGATCTCCTCCTCCGGAGTATGATGTCTCCACTGGACTGGCATACAAGTAGGTACAGCTACATCATCAGAACATGACAGAGCAAAATTCACTTTTACCCTGGGATAAGGATTCACTTTACTTGCCTAAGCAATAGTACAGAAGAATTGGGAAGACATCAACTTTAATGTAGCATATACCCACAAAACATCAGATCTACAGAATGCTGCAAAAATCAAGACATGCAAATACTTTTTAAACTCAGTAACTATTTGAACTTGGCAGAGTTTATAAACATAACTTCCATAAAGAATCCTTACCGCTAAGTTACGAGATGAAATCTCTGCTCTGTAACTTCGAACATCTTCCAAGTCCAGAGTGGCAACCAGCACCTCCTATGAAAAGGCTTTCAACATTAGATTGATTCTACACAAACAGATAAACAGTGTTTGACAACCCTGGACTACAAAAAATGTTGGGGAAGAAGAAAGCATGCAACTTTTTTGAAGACAGATTTTTATGCTCACTTCACAAGTAATTTCTGACTCAGTAGAATTACTTATATTACAAAGTGAGCACATCTGACTCGCTTCACCGAGTACACCAGGACACTCATGAACTACAACAAATTTATAGTGCTTGTCAGCTGGCTGAACAATAGGTTCATCATCAGTTGCGGCAAAGGACAAGAGGAAAAGGTGACAGGCATACTGGGAAAAGAGATGAATTTGGCACATAATGTGAGGAAACCTACAGCTTTGATGACAAATCTCCTGAGAAAGGGCTTTTTGAGGCAAAGCTCAACTTATCAAACCTTTTGTCTACCAAACCTGGTCATAATTAGAACACTGCAATCTTTGCCCCTTTTTTCTTAGGTAAGGGAATAGAAGTTAACAGGGTCTCTCCTAAACATGGTAATTGCATATGCAAACATTTTCACGAAGTTCCTCCACTGTGACAGCTCTTCCTCGCTCACAAAAGCAGGAGAGCTACTGTACGCAGAATCACACAGAATCGATTTGCTTGGAAGAGACCTCTGGGATCATCAAGTCCAACCTACTGTAGATCAGGTCCAGGCAATTTGACTAGGAAAAACCTTAGATCTAGTTGAATAGCGTAGTAAAAATATGTCTTATTTAGTCTAGAGACGTGGACCTAATATCTGGAATGTCTGGAAAGTGTTGAGCATAAATGTAGCCATACTAACTTCAGCTGTAACTAGCAGCTATAGGTTGAATATATTACCACATCATCGAGTGAAAACTGGGATCCTTGTGCAACTGTTTCTCCATTCATTGAAATCATGGCACAGCCATCATAATACAGACGATCACCATCACAGCCTTTCTGGTTAGCTAAAATATATATTCCACCATTCTGGGAGGAAAACAAACATGCAGACAAAAAAATGTTTTTCAGAATATAGCACCTGACAATGTTAAAAGACAAAATGTAATTTCTCTGTTCCTGTCCTTCATCTCATCTTCCTATGTCTTTACATTGTGAATGATTTACGGCTGGGACTCTCGTCATTTGAAAAAATACTTTGCATGTGTATACCCGACAGAAACAAGTAATTACATACAAGCAAATGTATTAAGTGAGTTCTATCCCTTTCACACTGTTGGAAATCTTCTGTTATTAGCAAGAGTCATTTCCTCAGCCCAAACAGAGAGGGCTGCACTTTTAAATTGAAATTCTAAGTTCAATTTGAGATTGAGAGAAGCAGGAAGATGACGACAGAAACTGTGTTTGGGTATCTGAGGACAGAGAAGATACTGTCAAATATAACCACAGCATGTTAAATTACAATGACAAAGCAGTTGTACAACTCAAACACTTCTCACAGTGCAATGTATACTCATTACTTTGTTTTTCTTCCCATCACTGTTAAATGGGATTCGAGTCTAATAACTATATGTCTTCTCTTTAAAATGGAAAGAACTTTCAAAGTAGAAAAATATAATATATTTTAAGTAAGAAGATGACAGGAGGGGGGTGGAAATGAAGTCTGAGTTTAAACACTGATTTCTATTTATGCTTCCTGATATAGCTACCAATATTTCTCCAACACAATGTTGCCATGTGAACGAAAATCGGGAAGGAAACGGTCATCTTGACGAAACAAGAGAGACTTTGGGATGGTTTTATATATGCTAGGAAAATAACCCCCTCTGTTGACCGAACTACAAGCTGGCAACAAGCTGCCAATTCAGTACATAAAGCATATGGAGGGAGAGCATTTAGGCACAGATAACTACAGGGAACAACCACAGTCACTGGTTGTTTGCCCTTTATGGAGAATGTGCATTCAACAACACCCTTTCAAGCTGGTTATTCTCTCTATGTAGTGGATTCAGCATTTCATACTTCCAATTACTGAAAGCCAGTTACTCTGATTAACTATTTTTTATCCATTACACGAGTGCAATATTGTTTTTCTTCATTGTTTAATGGAATTAAGATTGAGGACATCAAATACATTTTTGGAGCGTAAGTCTCCAGAGCTGGGAGTTAACAAACTACTTTAAGGTATTCTGACTCTTCTTTATAGATGTGCATGAAAGATGGATTATATAGTTGGCATGCCAGTGCAAAACTACGTGCTCGCATGCAAAGTTTCTTCTGGGAGTTCCCTGCACACACACAGAGGTAGGTTTGTATCTCCCCTATTCCCATGCAAATACCAAACGGCCTCTCTTCCAGTCCGCTGCTCCACAGACCACATAGAGCTGACCTGCAACCAAACAGCCTCTGGCATTTGGGGTCACAGAGCTGGGAACAAGTTACAGTGCTTCACACTACATCAGGGCACCCCAAAAAAGTATAGCCCCCCCAGCCAGAGAGCTCTTCCTCTATAGCTAACTCCATCAGGGAAGGTAATTACAGGCAAGAAAACAAGAGACTAACAACAAGGACTGTCAAGGCCTCCACGTTCATACTATGCCCTGTCACAGGAGAGAAGACTGTTCTGAAAAAAAAATCAGGTGCATAAGCAAAAAATTAGGTTTTTTTTTTTAAAAGCAAATACCTTTGCTGTGGCAGAATTCACCAAATCCACCCGGGTGTGAGCCTTTCGCAGCACATGGTGGCTCCCTGAAGAGTTAGTGAAAATTTCCACGCCATCAAGTCCCATTTCAATATGAGGGCTGTCAAAGCAAAAGGCACAAAAAAATTCAGCTGGCAATAATATGCTGTGAATACTGCAGCTATCATTTAAAACCACTGACAAAACCAGCTATGTCATTGTCAGTTTTCTGCACATCTTAGCTCAAACATGGATAGGACTCTCAAAAACATCTGTTTTGTTACATTGCCTGACTCTCCTGTCAAAGACCAGTAGTGGTTGCAGAGGGCAGAAGGGTCTTTGCTCATTCTGTTTTAAATTAAATGCCTTCTGCTTTACTCCATAGAGGCCGGGGTCTCAAAGAGAGAAAAGGACAATCTTGGTCTGAAAGGGCAACACGGAGATACTCCTGCAAGGTCAGTTGTCCCATTTTTCTTCTCTCTTAGTAAATCCAAAAGCATAGCAAACAGAAGCACAAGAAGACGATGACTTTTACTGCTTTTTTCTTTTCCCAATGTGCAAAGAAAGAAATACAAGGACATGAATGTCTGTAACTGGGA